ATATGTAATATAGACTAAAATATATATTTTCATTACTGCAAATAACATTTGCAGTGTCAGCGTACTATTTTGCAACGTTTGAAGGATTGTATATTACAAATTTTTTAGTATTTTGATTATCCTTTCAATGACTTGTTTGAATTGTGGCTGATTTTGTCACAATAAATACAATTACAAAAGGGTAAGTTAGCTCACAAGTTAAGTTACCATTGTTCTTGGTGCTATTTCTGGTTAGAGCTGCAAGTGTATTTACTTACGCCTTTATTATGCTCACATTTAAAACTAAAGTCTCTGGGCTATGAAAACACAATTTTACTCTCTTATTATTGTTTATTATTATCATTATTGTTATTTATTGAGTTCCTCAGAGGTAGAATATTGCTGGGTTTGGTTTTTAAGCAAAGTCATGGGATTCCATGACTAGCAGGAAGGAAGCTGGTTTAAGAAAGTTTATGTACAGTAGCAGAAGTATTGTGTGAGCTAAATCAAGTTCATTGCTATTTGTGTGCCATGTGGAACATCAGCGAGCAGAATTGACAGCTAGATGGCACCAGGCTTTCACTGCTGGGTAGCTGAGTCTGCATGTGCTCTGCTTGGTGCTCTCATTCCAGACCTCAGTGATACTTAACTTCATCACATCATATGGAAGAATTACCTATAACCATAATATTTGGGTTAGTGTCACTAGAGGTTAAAATGACTGAAATGAAGTGTACTGACTGGCTGATCTGTGTTTAGTCCACTCATAAGCAAATAGCAGAGTTGCGTGAGATCAGGGTAAAGTGAGTTGGCAGAGGATTGCAATGAAAAGTTACAGTACATGTCTCCCTTCTGTTTCTGAAGTTGATTGAACCCAACTGAATGTTTTTATGCAAACTAAATATCAAGCTACTAAAACTACCAGAAAAGTTTAATGAGATCTCACAGTAAGGAAAAAACTGTACTTGATGTGCCCTGCACATTTGTTACTGACTCTGATAGGTGAGGTGATGGGTAAACTTTTGTGGTAATATGTGTCTTGGATCTAAAATAAAAGGGAAAAGTGTACAACTGCAGGTTACTTAGCTGCCAAAACCTTTGTTCTTCCTTCAAGATCACAAAACTGGATGTCCAAAGAGTACCTAATTTCCAAGATTTTGTGAATGGCAGTGCAAGAACTTGCACATGCAAGCTTAAGAATAATGCTGCATCACATCCCACTGAGGACAGAGACCAGCAGAAGAATGTTTTCTTCATCCCTGTGCATTTTTTTTTTCTTTAATAAAACAGGGTTTTGAATGGAGACTGTGTTGTTCTGTGAACAACAACGTGGGTTTAATGCAGAAATTTACATCTCCTTTGTGGGAAGAAATGTGTGCAAGGGCAAGTAAGAGCTTGTCAATCCCAAATTCACAGAACACCATTGGAGACTGAATAATCCATCTCTTCCAAATGCTTCAGCTAGGTTGGATGGACAGGCATTTGTGCCTGTACTTTTCTCATGCAAAACCAAAATAAGGAATCTTTTAGAATAGCTGAAAATGCTGGTACTTGTAAAATGTCTATAATATGCTACTGTTGAAATGTTTATTTCCAGATGTATGCCCAAATGTCGAAAGTCTTAGGCATAACAGACAACAACCATGTTCTGGAAACATTTATGACAAAAGTGTGAGTTTGTGCTTGGGTTCTATTCTGTATGTATTTTGTTTTGTCTTTAGTGTTTCCATAAAATCTGAGTTTTATTTTGTTATGTTTGCAAAAAAAATGGTTTCCATAAATTTAAAATATTTAAAGTAAGGGATAACCATTTTCAGAAGCATCCATATCTTATTTTCTGAAGGTACTGCATGTCCCTAAATAAACACTCGCAGCTGGATATATCCTCCACAGTGCCTGCATCCCTTCTTGTATTGACTTATGGGAGAATAGAGCTGAGATTTCAGACTCTGGTTCAGTGACAGCCTGACCTAAGCAGTCCCCACTCCTCATTCCTGCACCGTCGGATGTCAGTGGAATTGTCTGTAAAGCTTCATGGTAAATTGCATGTTTGCAGTAGGGAACTGACCAAGTTAAACTGATCTCTCTTTTGTTGTTTTGGGGAGGCTCTTTTGGGTTGCTTTTTGGCAAGATCTGGCAAAATGTGCTCTTAAAAATACAGATTCAGGGAGAAGGATTTTAAAGCCTCATACTTACCAGCTGTTTTCTCATCTGGGGCATTTGGCAGAGTAAGAGGTGTTTTATTCTGGCAGATAAGTGTTGCAATACTTTCTCTTTAAGAATAATACTAGAAAATTACTCCAGAGAAGGTACCTTTTTCTCATGCCTCTGCTGCAGCCACTTTCATTGCATGCCAGCAAAACTACCAGGATTTTGTCTTTTATTACTTATGTCCTTCATGAGATTTGCTAGTTTCTCCTGACTCAAAAAGAGTTTCATCTAAAATCAGTTTTGCTCTTGAAGCAAAACAAAATGGGCCCTCTGAAAAATTGTGAATATCCACTAAAAAAATCTAGGAGTCCCCAGGAGACAGTGAGTTCTGTGTGTGCCTGGAGAAAGAGAAACAAGTACCTTATCTCTTTATTCTGCAGCGAGGAAGATGCTGCATCCTGTCGTTTACTTCACATCCTCTAAATCTGACTTACAAGACCTTTAAATACTTTCAATAGGCTTTGACCTGCTACAGAAACATCTCTACTGGTGTTGTAAGGTTAGCTGTGACCTGTTTGGACAGTATTAAACATGACTTACCTTTTGCTACCATGACTACCAACCTTGAGAAATAGTAGCAATTAAGACAAGGTCATTTTCTAATACACTTAACTTTTCTGTGGAAAACCAGACATAAATGCTTTGCTTCCTCGAAACCAGAAGCTGAGTGTTGTTACATCTTGCCTTAGGATAACAATAGTACCCATCAAATCTTGGTATTTATCTGGAGTATGCTTTGAAGACAGGTAAATGGAGGGTGATGAATGGAAAAATATTGATGGATGCTTATTGTACAGTTTCTGGATGCAGTCCATGTCATGTTATCAGACAGCTAAGCTTCATTTTATTGTTTCAAACTACAGTGAAACTTGGAACAACTGAGGAAAAAGGGGGGAAAGAGGACTGTAGTTTGGAGACCAGATGCATCAGTTTGCTTCTCTTTTTCTGCTTATTTCTGCTACTGAGAGGAAATCTCTGCTGCCTTTGTCAATTGAGGAAATAACATAGCATTTAACGAGCTGTGTAAGTGCTATATGTGTTCAGATTTGTATTTGCACAAGTAGTGTAAATTAAGAAAAAAACCATAAGGATTTAATGTTTCATGGAATATTTTAAAAGAAAACAAGGTACATAAAAAGCAAAAATCTGTTGCTTTTTAGGTTACACACTCTACATTTTTATTTTATCTTTCCTCATAGCTTACTGTATTTTCCTAAAAACATGAATTGTTCATTGAGCAGATCAATTTAATTTTACAAAATGGGTGTTACAGCTTGAAATGGACAACTCAGTAGCTTTAAGAGTTAGCTGTGAATCTGCTCTATCAACACATTCAGAATCGTATGTTCACTTTGCTAGCATGCCAGTTGGCAAATCTGGGTGTGAAACCATGACATACTGATACAAGATCCAAAAACTACAGTCTGATGGGGCAGTCCAGTCTGGCAGCATTTCTGGTGCTCTGTTACTGAGAATAATCTGTACATTCGTAACAGCAGTGGGCAGGATATGTGACTGAGAGACCATTCCCCTTTTTCTCCTGTGGATGTAGTCAGCATTTTTAACCACACCGTTATTTTAGAAAGCCACCACTTTGCTGTTCTGTCTTACCCCACAAATCCATTTCTTTCCTTAAGTAGCTGAAATTTGGTTTCAAAGGCACACACTATTCCTCTGTCTCCATGGAGTTCTCTGGCCTTGTTGCTCCTGCTTCCTCACAAAACAGCCACATTACATGTTCTTACACTTCTTGGCCTACTGGGAGTGGATCAAGGCACAGACGCTTAAGACAAGGAGTGAGGCATTGTACCCAAAACCAGTAGGAGTCCTTTCTCTCCTTGAGAATAGCTGTCTACCTGTCTTGATCCTTCCATGTATAGGTAAGAGGCCAGGAAATATTTAGACTGGAGTAGTTTTAGTTCCATCTGCTCCTTCAGCCTGTTCTGGGCATTTGGCTGAAAGTGTTTTCTATTTATTTTGGCTACAAGCACCTTTCCTTCACTTACCCTTTGTGAGCCTCTTCTTGTTCCCTTCAGTTACTATCGAATTCCTGTGCAAGGGATTTATCATGAAGGGTGGACTTACAAAATATTTGCCCAAATATTTAGGTTTTTTGGCTGTGATAAAATAACGGAAACATGACTAAAAGATGCACATCCAGACATTGTTGTTGGATGCTTTTTGCCTTCCCTCCTCCTTGTTTTTTTTTACTGTTGTAATGATTTCACTATGGTGGATGCACACATACCGATATATAATAAGAGAGATTTTCTGTCTGGTAGTGTTTAAGTAATATATAAGTATAAAAACTCTCAATATTTTTTGAACATTCATACTGATACAACACCATGCATCATAGCATAGTAAAACTTTGCACTTTTATTCATGACAGTACGTGCATTTTTGTAACTATTCACCTTTGTCCAACTCTAATGAAAAGTATATATCTAATCACTGTCATTGGGCCACAGAAAGCTTCCATTGTAAATGATGATAATCTACAAGAAATAATTAAAACGTGACTGTACAGAGCCAACAAATTGCTAAGTTCATTATGACTGAAAGTTAAGTAACACATAAGGAAGAGATTTTCTAAGTCTTTGTAGGCGATTTAGATGCCCGTTTTTCTTTCACTTCAATGGGAATTGAATAGCACACACCTTAAGCTACTTTGGAAGTTTTGTTTAAAATATATAGTTTTTTTTAAATTATTTGTATAATGCAAATCCATTTATAGTATCTTTAGTTTGAGACCAAGGCTGTTCCTAAATGTACATGGTTCAGGCTTTCCAATTCATGTCATCCTTATACAAGTTTTAAAGGTTTTCAGTCTCTGCTTTAATTACTTAAAAAACAAATCAAACCAAACTTGCTGATTTACAGCAGTCATTATCTCTTCTGGCTGGTAGCAACTTAACTTTTGCAATTGCTCCTTTGTCATCTTACCAAGTCTCCTGTGTGTGAGGTAGAGTAACCTATGCATGTGCAAGAAGTATAATGTTCCTGGGGTTCCTCAGCTTGGTTGTGATAATGAACCTGTCCATTGCATTTCAGAGAAGGAATTCAAGGTCTTCTTGAAAGAGGATGGATGAATTCTTTGGGTGCTTACAAATGGCCTGTAAGCAATGTTTGAACACCTTGGCATGCAGTGATAAATGAAGGTACCCACCATCCCTGTGACCAAGTGGATTTTCTCTCTACAGTACATACTCACCCTTCAGCACTCCCTATTCTGTGCTGACTGCACTTTGCTTTTGCTTTCTTACCTTGCATCCCTGATTCTGTTTCCTCCTCTAAAATTTTCTTCTTTTAATTGTACTGCAAGTTTTAAAGTTCTCCCTTTTAAGCTGGGCGTTCCACCCCATATATGGGAAATACTCCAGTATATTCCAGGATACTCCAGCAGTATCATTTCCCATCCACTACTGCCATAAGAACTGGTACGTCTTGTATGAAGGCTGCATGAGACTTTGCTGCGCACCGTGCAGAACTTTACAGAGTAGTGTGGTACAGTCCATGTGTCTGAAGAGGCCTTTCCAAATCATAAACTGAGGACAGGATAGGAAATTAAGGACAGTAGAATGATTGGGGGAAGGGGGGAGCAGGAAGAGATGAAATGGATTTGAGAGGCTGGAATTGGCTCTCTGTAGCTTGGCCAAATAACATAATGACTTGAATGTGCAAAGAATTTTGATGTTTCTGTGGATAACGTGGTAAGCCTTTTGCCAGAGAACTGTAAATTGGAGTATCTAATCATTATTTATCTTCCCTTTCTAGATTTTAGGTTAAAAACACACAGGCTCTTAAAATAATACATTTAAGTCACTGTATTAAGGGAAGAGATGTTTGGTGTGCTGATGGAACTGCATTGGTAAGCGGTCGTGGTGACAAAGTCTCATAGCAAGCTGGAGGGTTCAGAGGATGCAAGGCTGGGAAGCTTTTCTGGTGTAGTTTTTTAGAAGCTAAGGTTTTATTCTTCTTACATAAAATATTTCAAAATGTACTGGCTTCTTTATGTTTAAATTTAAATTAAATTTGAAATATCTTTTTTGGTTAAGTTTTTCAGTCTCAGCTTCTCTGCATGGGTCAGTGTTACTGTTGCTCTTTCAGTTTTGTGTCTAGTTCAGTATTTTTGTACTGGTCACCAAAATTGGAAATATTCTGCCATTTTTTATTTCCACTTTTTTTTTGTACTTGCCTTTAAAATGTGTTCAGCACTCGTCTACCATTGATGTTTTGGTGAATTCGGCATTTAGCTTTTGATGAAGCTCTTATTTTCCATAACTCATTTGAAACTTTATGATTGGTTCCTTTGACTGTGTTGCATTTGGTTCATAGTCTAAATCAATAAGCTGCTTCAGAGAGAAAGAAACAAGGGGACTAGTACTTAAATCCGAGTGCTGTCTCGCCATGATTCCTCCAAGAGCTGTAAATTTTTCTCCTTTTTCATCCCTTGGCTTCTCTTCCTTACATGCTTTTTGTATTATGAGATTCCTCTCTAGATCTTCACAGATTTTCTAAGATACTTATAAAGTTTTGTAGATGTTTCTTAAAATATTACATTTTATGTGTCTTTCATCTTGCCTGATATTGATAAGGCAGAAACAGAAATGGGAATTGCTATGATTATAATAGAAATTTTTCAGCATCTGTTCACTCATGAGAACTTTCTGGCTTTTATATTATTGCTCCATCTTTCAGCCAACCAAATGCAACCATGAAGTGAAAGAATAGATGTACACAAAAGTACTCTGAATGGTGGATGAAGAGTCTTAGTTATACAGTTTTAATATTCTCTTCAAGCTGTCACTGTGACTTCTTGTTTTTCATTAAATGTCTTGTATCTGGCTTCCTAAGGACAAAGATTTGGCTCTTTTGCAAAATAGCCTTTTTATGATTTTGATATTGATGTCAAATCTGGGTGCTCCAAATTCATTTTTATTGCTTTGTATGGTATATACTTGTTAAGGATTTAGTGCAACTATAAACATCTCCAGAACTCCCCATAGTAGGGATAAACTGTGAATTATGGACTTGCTAGAATGGGCTGTTTCTTTAAGGCAATCATGAACCTCTGTAGCTTTCATAGAGAATTTGTAAAGTAAATCAATGTTTGTTTGTAAATCTAAATCGAGGATTACTGCTTTGTTAATTGCATTGTTATTTGCCTTTTCCTGAGCAAATAATACTAAACAGATGCTTTAAACTTAATCTCTTTTTCAGGAAGTTATAAGCTCATGAATGCTGTTTATGTGGTGTAGTACGTTCTTTAGCCTGTGGATATGTAAAAGCAATAATCGATGCTGATTTTGAAGCATTTGAAATCTCTTCTTCAGGTTCTGTATTCCAAAACTGAAATCCTACTGCGTCATGGTATAAATAGCTGTTACTGATTTATACCTCTTACATCATGGTCTTGCATCGATAAATCTGACACTGTGAAGTCAGAATCATTATGCATATTCTACAGACAAGGAAACTGAGGCATACAAATCTGAAATGACGTATTATTGATCACCTGGCAGTTTGAGATACACCCTAGCAATTGGGTATCCCAAGCAGGAGTATGTGCCAGGGCTTCCGAGCCAGGAAGTTGTGCTTCCTTTTTATTTGAATGGCTATGTTTCAGAAGGCTGTGATGGCCTGGTTTTATTTGTCCAGATGAATCTAGTATCAGAAACTCTGCTGTGAATTGCTTACACACCATTCGCTCCCTGTCTGGAGGAAAGAGGGCGTTCAACTTTCTTCAGGGTTTTTGAGCAACTGAGGGAGATGGTATATGTCCCAGAATGAGTAGGGCACAGTACTTGCCTTCAGGAAGGGGAACTAAGAGGATGCCACTTGTTACAGGCCAAGCAATCTAACTTGGATTCTCTAAGGAATTCTAGAAAAAGTTACTAATGATCAGTGTATTATTGATATGTGCATTTAGGCTACTTGGGGCGAGGTGTGGGGGGGTACTTTCTACTTGGACTCATTGGCTGGAGTTTACAACAGAAACCGAAAGTCTCAGATGTTTGCACTTCAGTAAGATTGTTGACATTGGCCTGCCTGACATTCCCCTAAGAAAGCTAGGAAATGTCAGACGCAAGATCAGTGACTCTTCACATACTGTTGTAATTACTCCTCGATTGAAAAAAGTTACATCCCTCCACTTTACTGGCTTCAATTTACCCCTTTCATCTGAAGGCTAATGCCACCTCTTCACCTCCTAATAAATCTAGTAGGTGAACACAACAAATTACATTCCAGGTCACTAAGTGTCTGCACTGTCACACAGCACAGAAGTTGTGGCTCTGTGCTTTGTGTCTCACATTTAAGGTATGGATGGGTAGCAGAGCAAGTGTTAGCTGCATGATTTCACTGAAAGACTAACTCTAAGAGTTTGTTGTCAAAAATGGTAAGTTGTTTCATGTGGTGTTCCCCAAGGATTGGTAATAGGTCTAGAGTTATCCTATATCATTATTTATGCATTGGTCCATTAATCAGAGTATGCTTCCTAAATGCCTATGTCTGAGAAGCTTGCAATTAGGGAGATGCAGTATCCCCTATGTATCTTGACTTTAGTTAAGTGTTTGGGGTAGGGAAGAGGAAAAATAGAGATTAGTACAAGAACTGCAAGGTAGAGTTTCACTGGGAATTTGGTGTATCAGTAGTTCTGTGAACTGCCCCTTAGTTTATCTATGCCCCATTTCTCCTGTGGAAATTTTCCTAGGGAATTTGTAGCAATTCGTTTTCACCTTGTGAAGAACTGAGCAGATAAATGCTAGAGAAGTGGCCAGATATTGTGTCAGCAAGTGAGATAGATATAAGTAGTGGTAAGCTCCAGATAATTTATTTCATTATGACAGATGATGGATTTTTTAAAAATGAATGTGTTTGCTACAATATTACAAAAATGTTTGAATCTCTTGTTCAGGAAAAAGGCATAGCATGATTTTATAGCATTTGCTGTTTCATAAATGGGAAATCTTAAGATGTATCACGGAAACACGTTTGTAGTATAATGTGCTATTACTTTGAACTTTTGCACTGCACTTCTCAAAAAGGGGAAAATGCGTTACAAAATCTTACTTTTTTGTTTTATTTATTCCAGTGAGACAAATCTTAAATACTGGGGAAGATGTGAGCCTGTGTTTGCAAGATCTTCAGTTTCTAAATGACCTTTCTGCTGGATATCCTTTTCATTGTATATGGCATATATTATTTAACAATAATAAGGTAAATATCAATAACAAGACTTTTGTTGTTTCATATGCCACATTTTTAAACCAATCAGGATATTAATATTTACTCTTTCTGGTTTATCTATTTCTATGCATCGTTTTTTAATGGTGTGCTTATTTCCACCTACTTCTTAGCCACAAAAGAGAAATCATATAACTAGTTGCTTATGGTCATCTCTCCTATTCCTAATCTTCTAGAAGTCAAAACCATTGATGAATTTAAACAATATTGAAAACAGGATTGATGCTGTTGGCAGTTGAGAACAGGATTGGTTCTAGTTTCAGCATGAGTCAACTAGGATATGAAGCATGAGTTGAGATTTTAGGCACAAGTCTCTGCACGTGTTTTGTCATTGCCCAGTTCTAAGATCCTCACTGTGACAGTGCCATCATTATTACTCATAAAACAGCTTTGACTTTGCACGTGGATTTTATCTGGGTTCAGATATTTTTGTAAAAGTCTTGGACAGATCGTGATGCTAACTTGCTATCTGTTGCAAACCTTTTGTATCTTGTTCTTGCTTATCAGAAGCTGGAAAGTACTTGCTCTTTGAATTTTCCGTCAGTCGAGGAAGAAGATTGAAAAGAACAGTAGTAGCTGGTTTTGATGTGACACGATGTTTAAAAGTACACGACAGATAATAAACCACCAGGGCTCAATAATACATTCAATATTGAAATTCTTCTCTATTTTAAAATAAAAACAACTTTTCAGTAATTTTCTAGAGGAGATTGTTAGAGAAGCAGAGGGGAAGGCACCTGGAATACCACAATTGGTATAATTTTATTTCTCCATGGAACTCTAATCCTATCAGAAGAATTTTAATATATTTCCTTGGATTGAAAGATGAGTGTGGGTTTTCACATTCCGTAAGTGAATTTTAGGACTGGGAAGAACTAAAGAAACTGAACATTACTAAGGAATTTGACAAAAACAGAAGGGGAGGCATTTCTTAATGGTATTTATGAAGGGGCTAATGAGCTCTCTCTTCTTTTATACTATATACTTACTGTTTTAGTAGTGTTCGAGACACTTTAAAAATAACCAAGAAATTTAATGTGGTGCACCTAACTTCAAGTGCTTACCTGTTTATGTACGTATGTATACTTGCTGAAGTAATCAGCTAAAGCCAACAAGCATCTTGCATTTTAGATTGTCTTCTGGAGGCTTGCAAAGGTATGTATTCCCATGACAGCTCTCAAAAATGAGGGTAACTTTAAACTGCTGGTGCTAATACTACTTTCCAAGGCTAAAATGTCTGGATAATTTTAGTTTTCAAATTACTCAAATTATATTTGCAGTAAATGAGTTTCTGCTCATGAAATTGATATAACATCAGGACCTTGAAAAGGATGAAAAAGTAGAAATTTAATAAACTATGTTCTCCTGAAGAGTAGAAGTGTGACGAAATTGTGGGGTTTTTTTTCTTTGCAGAAACTTGCTAACTGTTGCAGAGAGCAGTTTCAGACCACTGTGCATAGTCAGGATGTAAAGCAGCACATAAATCTTAACATAAAACAGCATAAACCTTAAACATCAGTGTGAAATGTTTAAAGACTGGCAAAAAACAGATTAACTAAAACCATAAATATCAAATTTTTTTCAATTACTTTAATGGAAATACTTCAAACAAAAATTCTGAGAACAGTTGCTTTTCTGCTTAGCTGGGTGGGGTGGTACAAAGACAGCTTTAATGCTGGTTCACTTCCCCGTGATGTTGTATTAGTTAAGTTTAAAATTGTGTTCCATTGCAAACCATAAAAGATTTCAAAAGTATTAGACACCCACTTTTGTGCTGGAATTTAATATGCAACTTTTTATTGGAAAATAATCGTCCTTGTCTGGCAAAATCCACCATGCAATATTTCTGTTAGTAGGCATAATGCAATAAAGACAGGGAGGGCTATTTATCACTACAAATTTTGAGGATTTCAGGATTCTTTTTATTATTTTAATATATTTCTTTGGTATTAAATCAGAAAAATGATAAATTACACCTGTCGAGGCTGTTTTTCCTTTTTCCCAGAAAATGATGTACAACCCAATTTCACTGGTCATTTTGGCTTTTAAAGATATGTATTTTTTTCCTATTAAAAACTCTACCAATAGGTTTTTTTTAATAATAATACTGAAGTACTTTTTATTTCAAACATATGAAGTAGTTTATAACTACTTCCTGGCATTGCAAACTTTGGCCTTTTCACATTATATTAGGGGTTTTTTAAAAGGCATTAAGTATATATTGCTTTGAAAGAAATAGTGTATTGTTAAGATGCTAGATCCAGTGGATCAATTTTCACTATTTGATATAGATTAAATTGTGGCTAGTCTGAAAGGTTAAAATAATTATTTATTAAATTTCAGTACTTTCCTGGATGTCAGTCAGCTTTTATACAGTCTTAGAAATTGGTATTTTTCTTTTCTTATCTGTATAATAGTCTTATTCTAAAGGATAATCAACAATTAAAAGCAAACCATAATTTCAGCAATTGTACTGTATAATAGAACCAAAAACAAGAAGAAAAGCCATAGGGCAGTTTTAACAGCAAAGGCAACAAATGATTGGAGCTGCTGTCATGGTTTACATTACTTTCACAATTATTCCAGGTTTGCGTATTTCGAAATATATTAGCCCAATTTGATTTCAAAGCTCAGTTATTTGAATTATAAATCATTATGTCCCTCCTAGCTGATCAGTCGTGAAATATCTTTGAATTCATTTACATAATGGAATATGTTAGTCATTCCTTTATGTCTTAGGAAGCCATAGTGCTCCCTCATGCATGTTTAGTTCTTCTAATAATTAACTTTTCCACTGTATATTTTTGTAGCAAAATAACTACAGTTTCATTGTTATTTTGTACAATAACTTGGGGTAAAATATTTATAGTCTCTCAAAAATTGCTTATCCACAGCTTTGTTAGCCTTGTGTTATGAAAGGCTCTCTCTTGTAACCAGGAAAAAAACCCAAACCAACTGTGTAGCTTTGCAATATAAAACCATGTAATGCTGTGTCAAATGTTACAGATTGACAGAGGAACATCATCTTAAAACTAGATTAGGAGATTTTCCAATAGCAGGTATAAACCCTATTCTTACACTTTTACCTGTTTTGAAAAGAATTTAATCCATTTAAAATGAAAAGGGAAATTGTTTATTCCCATGAAAGTAATTGAACTCTTCGATCAGTTATGTGCAGGAATGGCAGAGTGCAGCTAGCACTCAAAAAATAAGTAGTAACAGTAATAAGTGTTACAGGTATTTGTGTTTGTGCAGGACTGTAGGCACTACTGTACAGTCTAAAGTTCATAACAATAATTCATAATAATCATACTGTTTATTTCTTAACGAACTTCATCAGTGTCACAGATCAACAGTGTTTGTTTGCTAAATTAATGAGACCTGATGTACAAGCCCATAAGTCATTTCTTTCATTTGATGCCTTCAATACTTAACGGATGTTTCTGTGGTTTGAATTTTCCTATGGCATTCC